CCTTTTGGGCCCAGAGAGCGCCGGCGTTGCGTGCGGCCTTGTCGCTGTCCACGCGTTGGTCGGCAGAGGGGGAGCGGACTGGCGAGACGCCGGCCTTGGTGCCGAAGCTGTCCCTGCGCCTCATCTGGTCGACGACGTCGCCAAAGTGGAAGGTGATGGGGCTCTGCAGGCTCCTCTCCTTCTCAACTTCGGTGGCGGTGTCCTCGTCGTGGAGGCGCTGACGGACGTTGAGAGCGAGCTGCTTGAGCTTCTCGACGGTGATGGAAGGGAGGGAGCTCTGGTCGCCGGACAAGAAGGCGGCGGGGGAGGGTGCGACGGGTGCGGGCTGTGTGAGGCAGGGGAGCGGAGGCTGGAGGCGGTTGCCCCAGCTGATGAGGGCGTGGTCGTAGACCGAGTTGACAATGTCGCCTTCGAGGCGGATGCAGGCCTCGATGTTGGGGCGGTCCTGGATGTTGTTGGAGTTGATCAGGGCGACCTGACGATCGACGATGAGGAGCTTCGCGTGGAAGGTGCCCATGAGGGGGCGGTGGTAGTTGAGGATCTCGACGTTGAGGTTGGGGATGTCGCTCTCTGTGGGGAGGCCGTTGGCCTTCCACATGTTGGGGGGCACGGGCTTGCGGAGGCGGAAGAGGTCGGCGAGGGTCTGTGGACCGCGATCCCACATGAGCTTGACGACGACGCGCTCCTCTGGGGTGGGAGGGCCGAGCTGGATGGAGTCGAGATCGTGTTGGTCGTTGTCGTCGTCGTCATCTTGCAAGGTGGAGTCGTCCTTGCCGGCACGAGCCATGGAACCGGGGGCGCCCTGCTTTTCGAGGAGGTCGTCTTGCTGCTTGGCGGCTTTTTGGATTTGGGGAGTGTGTGCTGGGTTGGGAGCAGCCTCTGCGGGGGTGTTGCGGCCGTTGCGCCTGGCTTCGAGAGCACGGGCCTTGCGACGCTTGAGGACGCGCCTGTTGAGCTCGCGGAGGGCGTCTGCGATGCGGTCTACGTTTTTGCCGCCCTGCCAATAGTTTGTGAGGAGGATGACTTCGCGCCTCGCAGCTACGATGCAGTCGTAGTAGTGGCCGATGATGTCGGGGCCGGTAGAGAAGATGGAGAGCGGGACGATGCCGGTGGTGGCGAGGAGCGGGGGCGATACGACGCCGGACATGGGGTTGCGAGGGAGCGGGAGGAGGCAGTCTGCGAGGACCATGAGGTAGAGGCGGGAGGGCCCGCCTTGTTCGGGCTTCTTGTAGCCATATCGTTGACGGACGTGGTCGAGCTCGTCGTCGTCTGGCTCGCGGTTGCCTTGGTGTACGGCGCCCTTGTCCCATACCCAGTGCTTTCCTCTGCCTTCTTCGAGCTGCTCCTTGATCTTGAAGCGGATGATGCCTCGTTTGGCTGCGGACGGGACGGGGAAGAGGTACTTTGCTGCGTCTGTGGGTGGTAAGGTGGGGTCGGCTGCTACGGCGGAAGTGATGGTGGGCTGTGTCGCCTGTGGACGCGCATCCTGTGTTGAGCCGATCTGGGAGCTGGCGGAGAGGTGCGCCTTTTCGGCGGCCTCTCTGCGGATGTGTGAGGAGCCGCAGATGGGCATGGTGCGGCGGTGCTGACGACGAGGATGGTGGTTCGTTTGCGAGAGGGAGAGAGAGTGTGTGTGTGTGTGTGTGTGT